CAAAATATTTATTTATTTTAGACAATTTATATGCTGCCGATTTGCACGGTGACTCAAGGCGGCTTACAAAATATCAAACCCATATTAAAACAATAAAATTAAAAAAGGGAGAATTATATATTAAAAAAATAAAATCACCTCCACCTCCCCCCCATCATGGCGACAGCTCTGGGTTCCCCAGGCCCGCTGGCAGAACCACGTCATGAGCGCCTTCTGGAAGTGTGGTAGAATTGGGGCCATTCTAATCTCGAGGGATGATGTTCCAGAGAGAGGGAGCCACCATGGAGAAGGCCCTTTTTCTGGGTCTCACCAGGTGTTTCTCCCTAGAGGATGGGACATGCAACATTCCCTGCCTCCCCACTCTGGTGAGTCGGGCAGATGTAACCGGTAAGAGACAGTCCCTCAGATAACCTGGTCTCTAGTCATGAAGGGCTTTAAAGGTGACAACCAGCACCTTGAATTGCACCTGGAAATTGGCAGCCAACGCAGCTCCTGCAGGAGAGGTGATACATGTGCAAACCAGGGTCTGCACAAAACCATGCAGGCTGCTGCGTTTTCCACCAACTGGTGCTACTGGATGCTCTTCAAGGGTAGCTCTATGTAGAGCATATTGCAATAGTCAGGAAGGGAAGTGACTAGGCATGAGTGACTGTGAGTAAGGATGGTCAGATCAGGAAGGGGCGTAACTGGCACACCACCCATAGTTGCGAAAAGGCCCTCCTGGCCACGACCGCCACCTGCTCTTCTAGCAGGAGTCATGAGTCCAGGACAACCCCCAGTTTACACACAGGGTCTGTTTGGGATAGTGCCATCCCATCCAAGACCAGAAGTGACCATTCTCCCTTGGCCAACGAACCCCAAACCCAGAGCCACTTGCTTTTGAAAGGGTTTAGTTTGAACCCGTTGCTCCCCATCCAGCCCCTAACAGCCTCCAGGCACTGCGAGAAGGAGGACACGGCATTGCTTAACCCACCATGGGCCAAGACATACAGCCGAATATCATCAGCTCACCCAGCGGCTTCATATAAATGTTGAACAGGAGTGGAGAGAGAACTGAGCCCTGCAGAATCCCCAAAGCAGTGGACGAGGGCTGTATCTCTCCCCTCCTATGAACAGTGACTGAGAGTGGCCGCAGAGGAAGGAAGTGAGCCAGGATAGCACAAGGCCTCTCAAAGCTGCGCTAGGAGAATCTCATGGTCAATGGTATCGAAAGCTGCCAAGAGGTCATGTAGAACAAGGATGGATGCACTACCCCATCCCACTCTTGCCAGAGATCATCCAAAATTGTGACAAATGCCATTTCTGTCCCAAATCCAGGCCTGAATCCTGACTGGTAGGGGTCTAGATAATCCATCATCATCCAGAAACCTCTGGAGCTGCCACGCAACCATCTTCTCAACCACCTTCCCCAAAAAGAGAAGACTGGAGACAGGTCAGAAATTATCTGAAAGGGTGGAATCCAGTTATGGCTTCTTAAGAAGAAGGAGGACTACAGCCTTTTAAAAAGTACTGGGGCACTATCCCCTCCTGTAGGGAAGCATCAACCACCACCAGAGTACAGCTACCTTTCACCTCATGGGAAGCTTTCACAAGCCAGGAGGGACATGGGTCTAAAACACAAGTGCTTGCACGCATACTCCCTAGCACCCTGTCCACTTCCTCAGGAGCAACAGGGTCAAACCGTTCCCAGATGACAGAGCAAGAACCTGTCTCAAGGGCCTCCACCAGACCAGCAACCATACTGGCATCTAACTGAAAAAGAATTCGAGCAATTTTGTCTTCCAGAAAATCCACATATTCCTCAGTGTGCTCTTTCCGGTGGACCTCAATCTCCTCCTTCCCCAGGAGGAGGACGCTCACCCTAAAGAGGGTCGCTGAGTGATTATCTGGAGATGTAATCAGTGTGGAGAAGTATAAATAGGAAGAGGTATTGTACAGAAGAGAAAAGAGAGTGAAGGGGGTAATCGTAGGATCTTCAATTACCTCCTGAGGTGTCCCGACTTTGATCTTGCCAAGGGATCCTCCTGAAAAATAGCTCCTGAGGGAGATTTGATGGATTCTTCTTTCCCTCAGGATCTCTGATTTCCACAGTGCAGCACTTCAAATCGGAGGAAGGGGAAAAAAAAGAAGAATTAATGTATACCATATGACGTAAAGTGGATTCCTATATTTGGAACACAACCTCAAAGCCCCCAATATCCATCCATGTGGTTGAGTGAAAAAACCATGGAACAATGTCCTACAAGAATTGGTGGGACTTCGCCACATATTATGAACATGAGATAAGTTTGGGAAGAAGGGGTGAAGTATTCAAACACATTCTCTATTCTCTTTTGAGCTCCCTAAAGTCTCTCACCTGCAACTCGACCTGCTCCTTCTGCTCCTCGGCCTGGCTCAGGAGGAAGCCTTCCACCAGGGCCACCGCCTGGGAGCTGGTCTCTGCTCCATATTCCCTCACCCAGCTCTCCAGCTCTGGAGGAAGAAGAGCCAGGAACTGCTCCAGAACAACCAGGTCTAGCATCTGGGCTTTGGTGTGCTTTTCTGATCTCAGCCATCGTCTACATAAGTCATGGAGTAGGTTGCAAAATCCTCGAGGACCCTCAGCCTCCTGGCACTGGATGAACTTCCAGGGCTGGACTTCTGAAGTGAGGATGATTTCGTCCTCCAGGATCTTCTGACCAGGTCTTGTCCAGATCTCCCCACCCTTCCCAGGCTGAAGAGTGGAAGGGCCTTTTCTGCTTCCCTCCTTTGCAAAAGATTGTGTCTCCATTCTTTCTCTCTCCTGCAGAGCAACTCAAATGGGTCCAAGGACTCTGGTGGATCTCCAGATGCCTTTTCCTTTACAGGACCATTTCTGGACTGCACAACGGATCCCTGCAAGTTATTCTGATCTCCCCCCCCCCCCCCCCAAGAGAAAATTTTGGCTTGCAAAGATTTCAAATGGCTTGGAGTTGTTCTACGAGAGATGTAAATAAAAACCAACAGCAAAAATCAGAAAGTGGAATTCAGCCACTGAACCAACTTCACCCAACCTGCCCGAAGCCCCAAGCGGCTGATCCCAACGCAGGTCCCCCGAGCAGGGCCGGGAAGGAGGCAGCTGGAGAGGCCGCCACCGGGAACCGCCCCCCCTCACCGGGAGCACGGCCGGATCTCCCCCCACCAAACTCTACCGCAGCATCTCGCCGCCTGCGGAGCCCCAGGGGTTAAGGAGAACGAGCGCGGCGTCCTAGAGCGGCAAGCGTTTGTGATGTCACTTCTTTCCCGGCCTCCTCCCCTACAAAGCTAGCTGTGACGTCCCCCCTCCAGTTGATCAATGGCCGAAGCGGCGGGAGTTCTCTTCCCTTGGTGGGGGGAGGGGGGGCACTCCCCTAGTGGATGTGCCGCAAAGTGCCAGGATTGTAGAACGGGCGGGAAAGAGGAGCGCGACTGAGGGGAAGGGAGAAGGCGGTAATGATGGGCTTGAGAGCAGGAGGAAAGGCCCCTCTCAATGGCTCCCTGTCAAAGGCTTCGACGTCTCCAGAGGTGGCACTTTCTCCGTCTTCCTCTCCTTTCTGTCCAGGAACCGTCTGTGGAGATGGAGAAAAATCTCTGGGGGATTTGAACTCGCTTCTCTCAAGAACAGCCGCCATGAAGGCTCCTCAGGTTCCCTGGAGACTGGATAAGAGCCCCTCAGGTTGTGGGAGGCCTCAAAAGGAGCCAAATGTCAGAAACAGCCGGGTGGTCAGAAGATGAGGACCAGGAGCCTCTGTTGGAAACCCAGCTTGTGTCATGCGGTTTTTGGAAACAAGGAATAGAATAGAATAGAATAGAATAGAATAGAATAGAATAGAATAGAATACTTTATTGGCCAAGTGTGATTGGACAAACAAGGAATTTGTTTTGGTGTAAATACTCTCAGGATACATAAAGAAAAGGTACATTTGTTAAGAATCAAGAATCATGATAGTCATAGGGTACAATTGGTCAGCACAAAC